TAAATTATTTTTTTAGTGTTGTTAATTTAAAATTATATATTAAATAAAAAATATAAATTATAAGTTTAATTTAATTGAAAATAATTAATTAAAAATTATGGTCTTATAAATTAAAATTTTTTTAGTGTTGTTGAAAATTTAATTTATATATTAAATAAAATTATTTTCTATTGTCGTTAATTTAAAATTATATATTAAATAAAAAATATAAATTATAAGTTTAATTTAATTGAAAATAATTAATTAAAAATTATGGTCTTATAAATTAAAATTTTTTTAGTGTTGTTGAAAATTTAATTTATATATTAAATAAAATTATTTTCTATTGTCGTTAATTTAAAATTATATATTAAATAAAAAATTTAAATTATAAATTAAATTTATTTAAAAATAATAAATTATAAATTATGGCCTTATAAATTAAATTTTTTTAGTGTTGTTAAAAAATTAAATTTACATATTAAATTAAATTATTTTTTTAGTGTTGTTAATTTAAAATTATATATTAAATAAAAAATATAAATTATAAATTAAATTTATTTAAAAATAATAAATTATAAATTATGGCCTTATAAATTAAATTTTTTTAGTGTTGTTGAAAATTTAATTTATATATTAAATATAATTATTTTTTTATTGCCGTTAATTTAAAATTATATATTAAATAAAAAATATAAATTATAAATTAAATTTATTTAAAAATAATAAATTATAAATTATGGCCTTATAAATTAAATTTTTTTAGTGTTGTTGAAAATTTAATTTATATATTAAATAAAATTATTTTTTATTGTCGTTAATTTAAAATTATATATTAAATAAAAAATATAAATTATAAATTAAATTTATTTAAAAATAATAAATTATAAATTATGGCCTTATAAATTAAATTTTTTTAGTGTTGTTGAAAATTTAATTTATATATTAAATAAAATTATTTTTTGTTGTCGTTAATTTAAAATTATATATTAAATAAAAAATATAAATTATAAATTTAATTTAATTGAAAATAATAAATTAAAATAATTAAAATATTGTGCAAAAAATAAAATAAAACAAATTTTTATTTAATCTAGCTAAAAATAATTAAAATATTAAAACTATGTTTAATATTGCTATTACTTAATAAATAATTGAAAAGGATAAAATAGTCATTTGAGTATTTATCCTTTTCCATAATATTCCAAACAAACATTGGATAACTAAAAATAATCCAATCCAGACATCTAATCCCATGACTAAACAAACATAGGATACAAATTTAGTCCAACCAAATAGTCCCGGGACAGGACTAATAGTCCGATGGATTATAATCTCCCTTTATCCAGTCCGTCCAAACAAACGGACCCTTAATGCATGCAGGAGTAACATTTGTCAGTGTTTTATAGACTATACATACAATGCCATAGCATGAGTTTGACACAACACGAGTGGATGAGTTTTGTTGGTGCTTGTTAACCCATATAACTGTCAGTCCTTGGCTGCAAAACAGGCTGATTCAATGACACTTCTAAATAATATATAAGATTGTTTCTTGATATCAAAAGTGCAGTACTGGGGAAAATTAGTTATTTATTGGATAATTTCCATGTGATTGGCTTTGGCGGAATCTTTCATTGGTGAGAAGTGTGCCAATCAATCCCTTGTTTTAATTTGATAATGAAATTGGTAGGAAAAATATTATGATGACGGGAGTTGGCATATGGGCACTTAGTGATGTATCCCATAAATTAGGCTGGTATCTTGGTTCTTTTATATCGATACAATTTCTACTATTCAATTGATGTTAATTTCTTCTTATCTGTAGATTCATAAAAGGAAGTCATTAACAAATGGTCAAATCACCTGCGAAGATCAACGAGCTTGGGAGAAATTAGATTTGGAGTTTATTAAGAGGGAACATACACGAAGAGAAGTTTCACTTGCAGATCAGATCCGAGCTGCCAGGAACAAAAGAGTAGAATGTGGGGCAAGGGAGAGTTTGCAAACTTCGTCATCTCTTTACTCATCCAGTGAGGGATCAGCAGGGTGAACTTAGATTCTCCTAAATGGCTGCAACAGCAAAAAAAAGATGCATGGAGAGCAAGTGATTCTAGTCCTGTTCTTTTGCTTGTAGTAGTCATTGTGTAATTTTTTGGTTCAACAAAAACTTTATGGAAAAGAAAGCAATTTCGAGATTTTACAGCCACTAATTATCTCATTGTAATATTCCAAATTAACAATTGTTCTCCTATTGTCTTCTCAGCAATCAAATGGAGCATTAGTAGTACTTTGGTTCTTCCTCTATTTGCCTTATTTGGCAACACCAAAATAATCCATCTTTTTATCTTTTTATCTTTTTTCTATCACATCACATCTCTACTTTTCTGCACATCTTTTCGTAAAAAGACAAAAAGTGCACTTATTTAAGTCATTCCAAACAACCCCTGAGTGTCGTACTCTTTTTCCATTGTCTGTACATTGTCTTTCCTAAAGGCATAGAGAAAAGTTTGATGGAACCATTTAGCGCAATAGAAGTAAAAAAATCAGTCAAAGTATCTTACAATGGGGCCCAATTTTGCTTGGTGCCGTGAAGAAAATTTCCTGGAAATATTCGAGTGCAGCATTTCTTCCCTCTCATATGCATTAAAATTAGTGAGAACGATGATGATGGTTGCTTACAGAGACACTTTAGCATTTGAATTTGGATTAGTTTTCTGTTTTGTGGCCTTCAAATCTTAGCATTGACTGCAAATATCAACTCTTCACCCATTCACCAACTCAACTGAAAGTTTTCTGTCACATTGGGGAAAAAAAAAAAAAAAGGGAAAATTTTCAATTTGTGCCACCAAATTATCACATTTATCACTTTAATTCCGAACTATCAATTTTAATAATTAACTCTTTAAACTATTCAAATTGTTTCATTTTGTCCCAAATCATTGAGGCCGTTGCTTTTATGTCTTAATCTATTACACGCCATGAATTATCAAACGCAAAATGTTTAAAACCCACAAAAAACTGCACAATGATATGGCATGATAAATAACAATCTTCCGATTTGTTGATAAAAAACCCAACTCCCTCAACACATCATTATAAGTGAATTTGTAAATTTAAAATTATAAGTCTATGAACACATCAAATAACGGCATTACAATTTTTTTTTGAGAAGACCACATGTACTGGCCACATAACCAGTGAAAGGAGTACTGGAGGATAAAATATTAAATGAAGAGCGAAGGAGATGTCTACCCTCAACTGAGTGGGGCTTTGCCAACTCTAACCACACTCTCTACTATTCATTAGCTAAAGTACAAAAAAAATACACTCTTTATTTTATCTAATTACTTTAGCTATTGTATTCTTCAACCACGCTCTTTATTTTAGCTAATCATTTAAACTAACTTAATTAATTTTTTAAAATAAAAAAATATTAATTATTAATATTTTATTAATATAAATATGCAATAATAATAAATTTATCCATACAAATATACAAAACTTGTAGAATGAGGAGAAAAAAAATACAAAATACAAAAAGTATACTTTTTGTCTTTTTACGAAAAGATGTGTAGAAAAGTAAAGAGGTGATGTGATGTGATGAAAAAAAGATAAAAAGATAAAAAGATAGTTATTCCGTAATTCATCAACAGAATTGAAAAACATATAAAATTACAACACACACACATATATATATATATAATATATAAAATCCCAAATATAAGACATAAATATACAAAAATCTAAAATATATACATGCAAAATTGTTTGAAGAGCCTCTTGAGCTCTTCAATTGTAGCCACCAAAAAAATAGAATAGTAAAATAACTAACCCATTGGAACTCAAAATTAGACTTACATTGATTAAAATACTAAACAAGTCTTGTTTAACTATTCCCTTGGAAATGCTATGCTCTAATGCTGATATCTAATCATGCATTCTTGAATTGGTTTCAGCATTCTTTGACTAGGCGCTACCAGAGAAGCCAAAATCAAACAGAAAAATTAAAAAAGGAGAACACAAACAGCGGAGAACAGCTAAATACTAGGACACAATTGTAGGATTCAATACAGCCACTGCAACGCCACCAAAAAGAAGAAAAAAACCTCATTTAACAATTCATCATTAACCAAGCAATGAGCAACGAAAGTAGGTTTAGTGTTTCAGTTAGGATCCAAAAGCCATTTATCAAGGACTGGCACTGCTTCAAACGGTTCTTCCATGCATTCATTGGTTTGGACACAATGATTTCAGGCAATTTTGTAACTACTCAAGAATACAACCCCTAGCTGATTCCTGCACATATATAACAAAAATGCACAACCAACCAATTGTTTATACAAACTACCAAGAGCACAGATGCTGTGAACAAAACAAGAAGCAGGTTTGAAACAATGTGAAGAACTATTTGAAATCATGCCATAAGAAATCATACAATCTTATTTGCACATCCAACCAGTTCTTAAAAGTCTAGCATTGAACCATAATAACATCCACAAGTTTTCTAGCCACCTTCAAAACGATTAAAACAAAATATAATACTTCATAGATATCTACAGCATGCCTCTATTGATAATTTGGTGGTGGGGGCATATCTCTTCCAGGCATATCCTGGGTCTGGTAAGGGTTTCCGCCTGATGTGTTTGGAGCATAGTTATGCTGGTATTCTCTGTTTTGTCCCGGACCAGGCATTTCCCTGTTTTGGAAAGGCGTGTCTACATTGTTAGGTCCACCCCCATATTGGAAATTTGGTGCGTTATTGGGCGGTCCTCCCATGTTGTTTGGCGGCGGCATTCTTCCCATGTTGGGTGGTCCTCCCATGTTCGGCGCAAATTTCCTCCATATTGTTTGGCTTTGCGGTCCTCCCATGTTTGGCGGCGGTCCTCCCATGTTTGGCGGCATGTGATGTTGTGGTGTTATTTTATTTCATTTTTTTCATTGCCAAAGTGTATAGAGCTCTATTTTTAGAGGATGAATCACTGCCCTTTTTTTAGTTTCTTCCAATCTCTCAAGCATTTATTAGAGTGGTTAGTGAAATAGACATTAGATTTATATGCTAGTACTTATACTTCACCTGTTAAATTTAAACTACATTGAAGCATATTATAGAGTATTGTTGAATGCGACAAAAAGTTTAATATAGGTTGCACACACAAAAGGATCATGTCAAGGTGGTTGATGCATATGAACTGCAGTGCATGCAATGCAATCTATGTGACCTTTCACATGTGATCGTGCTAACCCCATGATGCATTCAATTTGTGTGTTTTTAGTCCAAACATTAACCCAATCGTCTCATATGAGAGGTTAGAGGGTACAAAACCCGCCCCGCCGCAGTTAAAGGTCTTTTCTCTCAATAGATGATGCAGAAAAATATATTTTTCATATGGTTAAGTAGAGTAAAATGAAACACTAACTTCATTAACATACTTAATTATCTTCTCTTTTTTTATTTTCCTTCTTTTTTTTTTCTTTTTTTTTTAAAATTTATGTTTACATGTTATTTTTTAACGTAATCCCATTTAACAATTAAATTGTCCTTAATTTTATAATCTAATTTATCTTTTAACATAATTTATAATTTAGTTAGATATATATATACAAATATATAGAATCCGGATCCTCGGTGCCCCTTTCCTGCGGCACACCCCTGTAGCCCTCCAAAACGACGTCGTTTTGGAGGGTTTTTTGGGTGTGCCGCAGGAAAGGGGCACCGAGGATCCGGATTCGTGTAGGGAGGGGAGGGGAAGAAGAGAGAGAGGAAGGGAGAAGAAGAGGGGAGAAGAAGAAGGGTGGCGGGAGGGGAGCCGCCGAAGCCGTCGCAGAAGAGGGAGAGGACGGACGGGAGGGGAGAAGAGGAGGCCGTTGCAGAAGAGGGAGAGGACAAGTTCTCCTCCACTCCGGCCGGATTTGGAGCCGCCATGGCTGCTCGGGGCTGCTCCTTCGACCTCACCACTGCAGAAGAGGGAGAGGACAAGTTCTCCTCCACTCCGGCCGGATCTGGAGCCGCCATGGCTACTCGGGGCTGCTCCTTCGACCTTACCACCGCCATGGCTGCTCGGGGCTGCCCTCTTCCTTCTTCTTCCCTCTTCTTCTCCCTTCCTCTCTCTCTTCTTCCCCTCCCCTCCCTCTGTTATCGAATCAAAGAAGAAGAAGAAAAGAAAGAAAGAAAAAAAAAAACCCCAAAACAACGTCGTTTTGGGGGAAAAAAAAAAAAAAAAAAAAACCCTCCAAAACGACGTCGTTTTGGAGGGCTGCAGGGTGTGCCGCAGGAAAGGGGCACCGAGGATCCGGATTCGTTGATTTGATGATAGTGATCAATCCACAACTTTCCATTGGAAGAAGGGGATCTTTGAAATCAAAATGTTAGTCTACCACCAACTACATTATCAACTAATGAACACATCAATCTCAATGATCAGCCTCATAGGCCTATCCTTACCCCCACAAAAACAAAACAATATTCTCAAGAGAACAAATAAGATTTAAAACATAATAATATTCACTATGTAGGCTTATTATTGCACTCACGAGAACAAATAATATTTACAATAGAATGTTACAAGTAGTTCATGTTGAATTTTTGTGATTAGAAGAATGTGTTAGGTGATTAATATTTTAGTAAAAAACGAGTTTTACACAACATTACATGTACCTAACAAACACATAATAAGAGACCTATGTTTAAGACATGTAGGTGAAGTGATTTAATCTTTTAAATTGTAATTGTCTGCTCTAAAATAATAAAATTTGGACCAATTGCCTCAAAAATTTTATGGCCATTGGCCAGAGTGTCCCTTCTCTTTTTCCTTTATAAATTTCTTTTCAAAATTAATATCCAAATATAAGCTTAGAAATTCATCACAAGACTTATGAAGCCTGGTCCAGATAGAAAACTGCAAAACTTTAACTTATAATTGAAGTTATTATATATTACCCCTAGAAAAAATTTAAAGTATATATAAAAGAAATAAAGGTTGTTATTCAGAGTTCATTTATTTATATTTTGTGGTGAGAAGGGTGTTAGATTAGCCACTAAGGCATGACCAGGCCAGCTCTTCCTTTTTAGCAATATCTTAAGTCATGTTTCAGAATAAATTATTTTAGTGATATTTTAACTTTTTACAAAAAGATATGTAGAGTAGAGAAATTGATGTGACAACTTATAGTAATTTTTTGACTAAAATATGTAGTTGCCAAACGGGATATTAATGTGGAAGATATGTTGAAGAGCATGGAAGTGTTTTAATTATTATTATTATTTATTTTTATATTTTTGAATTGTATTCAAGTCCAGTTTTTCATTTGTTGCCTACTAACTGTTAGTAAAAGAGCGTTGTGTATTATTTTTTGGTAGAGAAGGATGATTTTGACATTACTCTCAAGTTTTTTCGCTATATGCTCTACTGAAAAGAAAATTTGAGCCAAATAAGAAGCTCTCTCAAAGCTGTTACATGTGAGAAATTATAATGGTGATCATGACATCATCTTTTGGTTCATATTGTTTGTTGCAGCTAATAATTTCTCATGTGCATTGTTTGGTATTTTATTTTAATTTTAATTTTTTAAAATTATAGAGTACATGCTAGACAAATTTGCGCAGATTTAATTAGTTGTTAAGGCATGGCATGACTAACAACACTCTATTGATTGGTGTCAAAAAATTAACAATACACCTTCGAATTAAGCAAGTTAATGTATCAGTTAAAATTAAAAAAAATAATAAACCTCACTTTTCTTGTCTAATATTGCATTGGTGATGATTATGATATTTAGAATTTAGTATTTAATTAAATCTGAGTTTAATTTGGTAAACCATGAACAAAAGCCTCTTAAAATTATTTTTAAAATTAAATTAGTTTTTCAGTATGGACCCTTTTTTTAATATAAACTTTTATAGTAATTTTAAACATAAACTCCCTAACTTTTTACAAATTAATTAATAAAAAAAAAAGTATGACTTGTGTGCAGTCCAAGATCGAACTGGATGGTACTGTTAGGCCCGTGGAAGCCCACCACAGGTTCCATTTTAATAATCTAAACCGTTCAATGTGTAGAACTTATCGAGTACTATATATTTTTAAAAAAACACGTTGATCAAATATTGATAACTATATAATCAAATCAGTTTTGTATAAAAAAATAGACGGTGAACAAATTAACAGTTGACCAAAAAAATATTTTGATCACATAACTATCGATATCCGATCAATGTAATTTTTTACAGGCAAATATTACTTGACAAGTTCTATATATTGAACGGTTTAGATTATCAAAATAAGACCCGTAATATAATCTCACAAATTCAACAACACCGTCTAATCTAATCCCAGACTGGACACAAGCCACATCCAATAAAAAAACCCAAGGCGAACTTGGCCGCGTTGAGAGGGAGATCATTATAGTGAGCATACGTGGCAAAGATCAGATCACTTTCTAGCGAGAAGGCGTTGATTTCAACTTTCGTTTGACATGACAAACTTTTTTATTTTAACTTGTGGGATTTTTTTTTTAGACTTAAAATTTAATTTTAAGCTTAAAATTTTTGATTAAATTAAATTATTTATTTATTTTATTTATTATACATATATATATATATTTAACATACATTTTAACATATCTTTTAATGTATTTATTATATCACCACTCACTCTTTAAAATTAACAAACTCTTAACACATCTTAACAAACATTTTTAGGCCTCATTTTTATCACTTTTTGTCATATAAAACACACTTTAACAAACAGTTTTAATTATTCCATTGTGAATGCCCTTAAGGCCTTTTTGGAGAGAACTCAAAATCAAATCTTAATTTTTAACTTTTTTTAAATTACATTATTATCTCTTTATTATTTTAGATGGCTCAAAAAAAAAAAAAAAAAAAAAACTTTTAATCAATTTCTCAAAACACCCGGATAACATAGAAGATAATAACAGCTCTCCTCAAATCCACGAACTTCAACGGAAAACAAATCCCGTGAATTCATTCGAAGAATGAGTAGATTCCTTCTTCTCTTCCCCACATTCTCTGCCAAACACTGTCTCTGTCTAGAAAGAGAGAGACGATGACTGTGTGGAATTTTCGCCATAATTAAAGGAGTTCAAAACCCTAGCTTTTGCTTTTTACTCTCTCTCTTTCTTTGTCTGAGTTGGAAAATTTGTCATCAAGCAAGCAATCTTCTTTTTTAATTTTGATTTGGTTGTCTCTTCAAAGGCACCGAAAAGCTTCGCGAGAGCCCCTCCCTTTTTAGGTATGATTCCACTATTAAAATCACTTTTTCTTGCTTTTTCATAGAATCAATTCCAATTCTGATCTCAAAACCCCACATTTCTCTCACTTCAATCCTCGATCAAGTCCAATTTTTTAATTAATCTTGTGTCTCGAATCATTGGTGGTTTTGTGTTTCTATCAATTGAGTTTGTGTTTGATTTACAGGGACAACGTTTGCTTTGTTTTCGTTAATTTATTCTATTTGCTGCGATTTATTATATCTGATGTTTTATTTCGAATTGCTGTATCGATTGATAGTGAAATTTTCATCTACACCCTCTTTCTTGTACTCAATTTCGCGTTATATTCTTTATACTGATGCTTTTTTCATATGTTGCGTCAATTGTCTCCGATTTCGCCTAAAAATCTGGTATTTGATAGTCAAACCTGTTCTGATCGAGCTCACTTACTGTGAATTTAGAAGAGGATTTTGAGGGTGGAGCAAACAAACCCTTTTGGGATTTTCTCCAATATTGTTGCAAATGGCGGATCGCGTAAGGTGTGCTTCAATTGAGGACTTGCCCTCGCATTTAATCCTAGAAATACTGAGCTCGGGCCGGTTGAGCGCAGTTGATCTAGTGTGTTTGGAGCTGACTTCACGGTTATTTAGGGGGAGTCATGGGTTGTTCCCTCACAAGTTCCGGTCTTTGGTGGACTTTGCAGCATTTCAGCTTTGTGGATCCCATCCAATATATGCTCCGCTGGGTCCAAATGCTCGGACAGAGCTTTTCAATCGGTGCAGTGGGAGCTGGAAGCGGGTTTTGAGGTTCTTGCAATCGGTGGAGCAGTCGTCCAGCATGGTTGAGACTTCAGCAGGCAATGTACTATTTCTTTGATATTATTGCTTAGTATTAAATAATTCAATTTATGCAAATTTTAGAAGTGAGTTTTCATTGTTTATGAGCCCTTTTGTCATCATTCTGTAATGGTTATACATAGTTCATTGTAAATTGGTTTTCTTAGTTAGGATTTCCATTTGCTTAGAATTGACAGTTTTGCTATCATAAAACCTCTAAATTATTATTGCATTCATATTTTAATGGTGATTTTATCTGATATTGGCTCTTATCTGATATTTTAGATAAACCGGCAAAGGGAAAATTCTTTTTGATTTTTCCTTTGATATTTCTCATGATGCAATTTTAGGGGTGGTTTGGGGTGTCCTAAATAAGTGCACTTTTTGTCTTTTTAGACTAAAAAATTGAGGAAAAACATATGGATGTTTGGGTTAACTTTTTGACTTTTTATGGAAAAATGTGTATTAAAAAATTGTATAAATTAGTGTGTAGGGGAAAATTAAGATTGAGAGTTGTGCAACCGTAATTGTTGACTTTTGGTAAATAGTGTTAACTTTTTAATTTTTTGAGTAACTTTTTGACTTTTTAGCTTTTTATGGACTTGCCAAACTTGGCCTTAAGTTATGAGTTTTGAAAATAGATGTCCTAGTTGATTTCCCTGTGTCATTGTTACTTGTTATTAATGGTTAAATGCTATCAGCAGATGCAGATTAGAACAGGAAGATTTCACTCATTACTGATCAATGATTCGTCAGTGTACTCTTGTGGGTCCAGTTTGTGTGGTGTTCTTGGTCATGGTCCTGAAACAACACAGTGTGTAGCATTTACCAGGATCAATTTTCCATCTCGTGCACATGTGATCCAGCTCTCAGCCTCCCACAATCATGCTGCTTTTGTCATGGAGTCTGGAGAGGTTTGTGACTGCTCATACTTCTTCAATCTCTTGCATTTTGTGGAAAGGGTCATTAGATATTTATTGTGCTCTGGGTAATCTAGGTGCTAGATACAATTGCCAAGAATGGTGATTTTAACACATGAAAAAGCGTTGTTTTCCAATGTGGATGTACCCTATAGCAAAATAACTATAGGCCTAATATGGTTATTGTATTTCAGTGTCACAAACTCAAAAAGTAGGATTTTCCTTGTCAAAATTAGTTGTTCTGCCACAACAACTTTTACTATATAACGGGTTCTCTTAATTTTGATTTAGTGGGAAAATGTCTTTTTTCCCCTTTATATTTACTTGAAACTTTGGTTGGTTTGTTATGCTTATCGTCACATTCAAGATCCTGATGGGGCCAAAAGTGATGGTGGATTTGTTTATTTGGGGCCTTCTACCTGTTACGCCTTCTTAGGGATCGATTGTTCCATTTTATTGTTCCTTGAATATGGAATAAACATTCAGTTTTTGGTAATTGAATTTGCATCCTTAATGGTGGATGATACAACCGTGTGAATAATAAACAACTTCTGCTGAAAGAATTGTTTTGGCACCTCAGAGGTTGTATCCCATAACTGTGGGTTTTTAAACCTTTCTTCATATATTCACTAATGTGATTGTTTCTTGTGGACGGATATATTGTTGGAATGGATGAGCAGTACAATAATGCACAGTTTGTTGTTCTCAGATACCTTTATTTGCTGCACAAGGCATTAACATAGAAGTACTTCCAAAATAATTTTAGGAAGGTGGCTGCCATACTTATTTATTATTATCTATTGTTGATGCAGGTATTTACATGTGGAGACAATTCATCATTTTGTTGTGGACATAGGGATACAGGCCGTCCAATATTTAGGCCTAGGCTTGTTGAAGCATTGAAAGGAATCCCTTGCAAGCAGGTAGATTACTTGATGCTGTGGTTATCCATATCTATATTACTAACAAACAAAACTTGGGTTTTAAACGCTACATCTAAAACCATTACTTCCCCAGCTTTGCAATAATCATCTTTTTTATTTTAGTTTAAATGGTTTCGTTAGTCATTTGGTTCTCATAGGACATAAGCTGAAGCTATGGCAAACACTTTGGCACAAATTTCTAAATAAAAAGTCATAATTACCCCCATAAGCTGCAGCAAACAAGGCCAAAGGTAATTATTGCAACTTCAATTAAATCTACCTTTGACAAGTGCATCAGTGCCATATGATTACTTGCATCAAGTGATATTCTATATTTCCTTGTGTCTCTTTGGCTTTTATCCTCCATCTCCTTAATATCCTAAAACCTGAATTTGTGAAATTTTCCATATTACATTTATGATTAAGACTTGGCCTAATAACCTTAAGGTTATGGGTTCTAGTCTTGGGCCCACCACTTTGTGCATTATGCCAAAGGTTAAGTGTGTATTCAATCTTTCCCCTCCCAAACACACATTAATGTGTGCTAATTGGGCGTTGTTTTTTTACATTTATGAATAATTTATGCCCATAAGGTAAATGTATTTTTTTTCCTGATATGGTCATATATCTGGAGAAAATATGCTTGCAAACTTCTGACAGTATTATCTCTAATTTAAAAGATGGAACTTGTTTCAGGTTGGTGCAGGGCTTAGTTTTACAATGTTCCTCACAACACAAGGCCGTGTCTATACATGTGGGACTAATGCACATGGCCAGCTTGGCCATGGTGATACCCTTGATAGACCAACACCCACAATTGTAGAACTGCTAGAGTCAGTTGGATCTGTAGTTCAGATTTCTGCCGGTCCGAGTTATGCCCTGGCTGTAACTGATGATGGGACTATCTACTCATTTGGTTCGGGCACCAATTTGTGTCTTGGACATGGAGAACAGCACAATGAGCTACAGCCACGTGCAATTCAGTCATTTAGAAGAAAGGGTATCCACATTGTTCGTGTCTCTGCCGGTGATGAGCACGTTGTTGCCCTTGATTCCAGTGGAATTGTGAGTGTCCTTGCCTTGCTCAAAATGAATGTGGTGTTTCCAATTTATATTTATGGTTTGGGCATATAGCATGTACTTAATCTGCATGGGTTATTAGCACCTTTAATTGATGATTGCAGGTATATACTTGGGGCAAAGGCTACTGTGGTGCATTGGGCCATGGTGATGAGATCGATAAGACTACTCCAGAACTCTTGATCAGCTTAAAGATCCATGTTGCTGTGCAGGTCGGTTCATTTCTTAACTGTTGTCATAACACATACATCTCTATTTAAGAACAGAATTCTATTGCTTTAGAAGTTCTAATATTGTAAAGTTATTTGGTTCTTTGAGAAGCAGTTGTTCCCTTTCTATTTTTGTCTTTGGCCATTTTGATTTATACAAGGTGTTTTATCTTTTTCAAACACTGTTGTATTGCATTTGTGTATGTGCCTATGTATAAATGCTGTTCACTATTATGCCAAAGGTTAGATTTGTACTCAATCTATCCGTCCCAGAACCCCATCAAATGTGGACTAAATTGGGTGTAGTTTTTTAATTTTTATCTTATCCTCAGTTTTCTCATCCATGTGTGAGCCTTCTCGCATACATTGGAGCCATTGTAATAAAATATCTTTTTAGCAAGAATCATCTCCATGCATGATGTGATTTGCCTTGATATTTTTGGTTTCACTTTCCTTCCACTTTTTCTTCACTTCCTCCAAATGGTGGCAGAAATGTCAGCTAGCATATTAGTTTGCTTTGAAGGTGACATGATCTTGCCCTTTCATGTTCATATGAGCTTTTCTGTTCTATGAAAAAGATGCAACTCTAGATGTTGTAAAACTAAGTCTTATCGAGTAAGAACAATACTTATTCAAAATGAGGGTCCAGTAGAATTGCGTAATGGATCTGGATCATTTTTTCCTAGACTGCTTATCACCATCACCATCACCATCACCTATGTCCATATTCATGTTTTCTTGTAGGTTTGTGCAAGCAAGAGGAAAACCTTCGTACTGGTGGATGATGGTTCTGTTTATGGCTTCGGGTGGATGGGGTTTGGTAGCCTAGGGTTTCCAGACAGGGGAGCATCTGACAAAATTATGAGGCCTCGAATCCTTGACAGCTTAAGACCTCACCACATTTCTCAAGTAAGCACAGGTCTCTACCACACTGTTGTAGTCACTAATCGGGGACGAATCTTTGGGTTTGGAGATAATGAAAGAGCACAACTTGGGCACGATACCTTGAGAGGATGCCTCGAGCCAACTGAATTTTTTATTCAAGAAATGGAAAGTGATGCAAGTCGGGTATCAGAAAGTGGGTGATCTAGTGGAACCTGCCATCTATTTTGTGGAGGTAATTATGGTTTTGTACTGCACGAGGACCCTGTTAGAAATTTTTTCTTACCGTACCAATTTAAAACCAATGCCTACATAGCACTGCAAAAATCTGTTTATTTTAGATATTAATTGCAAATTTCATGCAAGTCTTTGTTGTATTAAAGGTTGAATGTGCATTGTTTCCATCATTGTTTTAGTAGTAAATTTGAGTTTCAGTTGAGAAATTCCTCTACTTTGATTTCTGCTACTTCCTCGATTTTCATATCTTGGTAGTTGTTGGTCCAGTTGGCATCTATATAGTGCTCTTTTTCGGTTCGTTCTTGCGAGTAAGCTATATTTTGTTGTTCCCCTTTTGTCTAATTACTGTTCTGAGAACTGCTTTCTAATATGACTATTAGGTGATACCACTTATTTAAGTTAGTAAAAATTTGCATAATTTTGTGATAGGGTTGCATACCGTATACGTTGCACACCGGAGCATTCCCCACTTAAATAGACTTATCCTGAAATATTTACATCTGTTTTTTGTTTTTTGGTTTTTTTCTACGCCACAAGTTCAGATCAACCTTTCATGAGATACTTGTAATTAGAAATGAGATTACTATGTTAGTGACACTTGTTTGTGCTAAACCATTATCAATTGTTTTATCAAATTTGCATCAGTTTTCACTCAACTCAAGGGTCAAATGTAGCCCCTCTTTCATGGCTCATAATTTTTTCTAAGCTGTTCCAGATGATGATTACCCCACCTCTTGCTATTCCTGAATTTCATACCTAAATTTTTGACAATCATTGGTCTATATGCTATCCTAGCATTTAGCTAGGACAGTAAACCAGAACCAACCCAACTAAAAGTGCGTTTGGCTTGATTATTTTAGTGATTTTTTTTGTTCAATGAAATAATTGATACAATATTTAATTTTTTTTTTAATTCATAACAAATAATTTAGTGATTTAAAAAAAAATTTAAAAGTAAAAATTAACTTCTTTTTTTAAAGTATGTTTGACCCCACGAATAAGTTGAAAACTAATTTTTAAAAATTCATCAGTGAAGCTTAAAATTTAATTACAAATAAATTATAAAATTTATAAATATTAATATTTTAAATAAATTATAAAATTTATAAATATTAATATTAATAATTTTAATTTTAATTTTTTTTATAAATATGTAATATTTTTTTAAAATTACCATTGAGTGATAATTTCTCCAAAAATAATGGGGGCGGTGGAAAAGAAGATATAAATTCAAAAGAATTACAAAGAGATGAAATGCACAATTTAATTACATAAGTTAATATATAAATTAATTATATTTTTATAATATTATAATTATTTTGTGTTGATCTCAATTTTTTCACCATTCTCCTTTTTTCTACCAACAATGATAGAAACCACTAATTTTGAAGCTCTAAAAAGACCACTACTGACATGGCACTCAATAAAAAAAGAAAAAAAATACAACACCAAGGTCAAAATATCAAATCATTTATGGTAAGATCCACTGACACATCATTAGTGATATCACTAATTAGTACTCTCACTCAAATTTTTTTTTTTTTTTACATGTTCCCCAAGTGAAGTTTTGTCCAAACACGAAGCCAATTAGAGGGTTACCAGTCAACAAACACATCAACTCCATCAAATCCCACAAAGCAAATTGACAAGATGCTCACGTCCTTGTCCCAATATGAACCAACCATCAAAACTAATGTCCGTAAAAAGATATGGCGGAGAAATCGCCTTGTAATTTTCCCCATTTAGGAGAAATAATAAGGCTAAGTTTGGGAAGACTAAAAAAGTGTACTTTTTGTCTTTTTGGACTAAAAAATTGAGGTTGAAAATATGGATGTTTGGGTTAACTTTTTGACTTTTTATTGAAAAATGTGTAATAAAAAATTGTAAAAATTAATTTATAGTTCCCCATTTAGGAGAAATAATAAGTTAGTGTCGGGGTTGAAAAAAAAAATCAGAGTAATGGTAAAAATTATAAATTTTAATTATTAAAATTATAATTTTTTTTCATGTATTAGTAATTATTTTTTAAAAGTATATTTGAATTGTAATTTTTTTTTAACATTCTGAGGTGATAAGAGACTAAAATTGAGAGATTGATTTGTTAATTGAGGCTGGTGTCGAGTGTCAAATCTTTGTTGAGTCCTATTACTGCTTTTGCCAATGCCGACTTCTTTCTTTCATATGGAAATTGGTGGGATTTATTTACCATCACTATCCCTTTTAATTGTAATTGTGCCATTATTAATCAAACCTTTTAATTCGATTTTATGTTTTTTAAGGGTGATTTTAGGAGAATACAATTATCATTTTCTATTTAGATTCTTAATCGGTCATTTCACTATCCTAACCAAGTATCCCTCTTTTTGGGGAGCAACAATGTTATATCTATTGAATTTAGGCTTGTCTGAATCGTCCAAATTTATATATGTCGGTCGTCTAGCCGGTCATTCGAGAGAATGCCGGCTAACAAGGGTGACAACTGCGGTTGACGAGGATGACAATCGTAGTTGAAAAGGTGACGCCGATCATTTGAGCGATCGTTTGACTTACATAATTCAGACAATTCGAACAAACTTAAATTTAACGTCTCAAATCATTTTTCTTTCTGGAATTGATTTTTGGGGGTCGAACTGAACACGGTCATGTGGTTAAATTCGGCACCCTTGATTGACCCGGTGTCCATACAATATAACGGAATGTGTGGATTACAATATCAGTAGTATTTATTGGCATTAACAGACATGTCCCATTCATAGATTGGTGCCCTGGTGGGTGAGTAATCTATTCTTTAGGGACACTGAAAAGGCAGGCAATCAAATTCAAAACAGAAGTTAATAAAATTTTGTTATGCAACTGTTTCCAGTGTGGCATAGATAGATTCACCAACAAATAGAATTTTCATTTGAGATTTGTAGTGGCATTGGTATTATTATTGAAGATTTTTGCAGTGTATATTGAAAAACTAGGTTCAGTTTTGCCCATAATTATAACAACAATACTAGGAATACCATGGAAAGTTCACCAAAAAGTGAATTGTCTGGGCTCAGATTGATAATGTGGTTTCGGTGTAATCTCATTTTTTTAAATTTATTTTATATCTAATGGTTATAATTTAAAAATAAGGGATAAAATATAGGAGTGAAAAATGTAATTAGTCCTAGAAGTTAAAAAATGAGTATAACTTGGTATATGGGTTGACAAAAAATACATGTGGTGCTCTCTTTAAATGTCATATAGGCGCTTTTCTATCAATTATATAGCCATAATCACAAAAGGTTGACAAATATTATAACTTAAGCATATATATTTGCAAGAGATGAACGGTTATAATTAAATAATAAAAGACCTATAAAGTAAACTAAATTGCATTTAGTTTCCATTTTTTATATACCATAATCTAGGCCTTGATTGGTGTAATGTATTATAAACTAAAAGTTAATAATTAAAAGGAAAATGTTTGAGGGCCCTAATTTCTGTGGCTCAAATGGCTCAAATTTGCTAAAACGACGTCGTTTTGGCAATTTTGATGTTGTTTTGTACTCAAAACGACGTCGTTTTGACAAATTCGAGCCATTTGAGCCACAAATATTAGGACCCTCTATCATTGTTGTAATTAAAATTAGACATTAAAACCATCTCTACCCACTCTTTTTTTTTTAATTTTTAATTTTTTACCTTATTTAAATTATTTTACATCATAAACTCTAATGAGTAGTTACACCATACCAAATACCCTCATAATACAAATTTTCAAAAAATATATTTATAAATAACTTCAATATGCATCTCATAGTGTGAACCCAAAATTGGGATCTAATTAAAGATTCCACAATAGTTAAGATTCTTTATTTAGAAGTTACTTTTTGTTGATTATTTCATAGGATAGTAGAAAAAGAAACAGAACTGACCTGCCTCTGATAATGCCTTCACCATCACCTGCCATGAGAAGGAGCTGGAAACCAACCAAATTTTGGGACAAAAACATTAATTTCCCATTCTCCACTCACCATATCATAAATCACCCGACAAAATGATAAACAAACAGAGGTTCTAATCTAATTTCTGATTTCCTGATTTGTTTCTTTTGAGAGAAAAAAGTGGAAGTGCAAATTATATTAAAGTTTGAGATGGGTTTCTCTTTGCATTATAAAATGGATTACATCGAATTGTTCAGTCCATAAGGTTTATCGTGAGTTTTGTTTTGATAATTTAAACTATTCAATCTATAAAATTTGTTAAGCGCTTTATTTTTATAAAAAATCACATTGATCGGAACATATTTTTGTCAACAATTTATTTTTAAAATCATATTAAATTAAAAAAAATATTTTCCAACAAAGAGACTATCGATATTCAATTAATGTAATTTTTTACAAGAATAAAATACTTGATAAATTTTATATATTGAACGGTTCAGATCATCAAAATAAAATCTATACTGAACCATAAAAAAGAGAGAACTCCATCTCTATTAGTTAATCGGTAAATCATGATTAAAGGCAATAACCAATCCTCATCCCAAAGTGATTGTCACAAACAAAAACAGTCTCATATGATATCATATCCACACATCATGTGTTTGAATTTATTTATGTGAAAAATGGTAGAACTTTACTTCATTGTCCTCACCTTCTAAGTCATGGCCTTGAATAGTGCAAAATGTGATAAATATGTTTCCAGAAATAAAAACTATGCAAAGTTTTGAAAACGCCGTCGTTTGTTTTTATGCAAAACCATATTTTGAAAAATTGAAAATAACTCTTGGGTATTTCCTAAAAGTTGGATTGCTTTTAAATATTTTTTATTATTTTTATAATTTTGAGAAACAATGGAGTATTAGTTTGCCAAACAACTTCTTGTGTTTTTTTGAGAAATGAAAACATAAAATAAAACAAAAAAACGAAAACAAACCATAAACTAGTAGTTTAAGGAGAGAAAATCATAACATTCATGCATCAGAACTTGACAGGGGATTAAGGCCTTTCCTCTCTCATAAAAAAGTCAAAAATTAATTTTTAATTATTTTTCCAAAACACCCCTAAGTGCAGGGGAAGAAGAGGATATTAAGTTGGGGCAATTTTGTTTGTAAGTGGAAAATTAATAGTCAGAAGTTAAAATTATTCCTCCAACTTGGTAATAATAAATAATAATTAAAAAAATTATTTAATTTTTTTCTACCTCAAATTATAAATAAAAATGCACCAAATATTACGACATAATTCCAAAATAAAAGGCTATAAACAAGCCCAATAAACTACACCAAACATGTAAATTTTTTTTGAGATAGTGACTATATTGTAGAAGAATTGCTTAGCCTTCATTTGGAATGTGGATTGACTGTTTGACATTTTAATTATTTTAGCCTGGAGTTAAAAAATCTCACTTAAAATAGATTTTTCGACTTTTTTGACTTTTGTGAGAGAATAAATAAAATGATTATGAGTTGAATGTGACATTTTATCCTATTTAATTAAAATAACTTATTTGGTCCTATATAACTATTTTAGTCCAAGGTAACTTCTCAAACATAGCCTTAATATATTCACAACTTGGCTAAGATAGCCTTAAGATATTCACAACTTGGCTAAGTAACAATCAAACAGAGTAGTCCACTATTTTAGCCGAAAGTTACTCCTCAAACATAGCCTTAATATATTCACAACTTGGCTAAGTAACAATCATCTCAAACATAGCCTTAATATATTCACAACTTGGCTAAGTAACAATCAAACAGAGTAGTCACCTCACTAGTAGCTCTGCAGAGAGTCCAAACTGCAGTTTTCATGGAAATAGGCATAAAACCAAAACCAGCAAGTTGCATCCCTTCAAGTTATATGGTGGTGTTTGGGAACTTGGGCTTGGGATTTAAGCCCGGTAAGGGCCTGGGGTTTAAGCCCCTAGGTCCTGGGTTCAACTTTCCTCTGAGCGAATCTCCTGGGCGTAGCACAGTTGGTTAGGAGGTTGACCTCAAGGATGCCTTATCAGCTACTTGCCGTGAGTTTAATTCTCTCCCGCTGTGTGAGTCCTGACTTAAGCGGAGCTTGTCTTGAGAGTTCGGGACAAGCTTCTAGGTTATAGTCTCTTACTCGGAACGGACAACAGGACACCCTGGTGATCTCCTCAAGGGGCGCTGCCTTAGACCTGCGGGAGAGTGGGAGGATTTTCCTGTAACAAAAAAAAAAAAGAAAAAAGTTATATGGTGGTGTTTGGGAACTTGGGCTTGGGATTTTTTTTCGATTTTTTTCATTGAAAGATAAATTTTTTGCAAAATCAAAAAAAATACATCCAAACAAAATATCACATCCAACCTTATAATTATTTCACTTTTTCTCTCACAAACGTCACATCTAACCACAAAAAAATCCAACTATCTTCCCAAACATCAAAATTTTTTTATCCAATAATATCCTACAACTAAAAAAACCTTACATAAAAATTCACTTCCCAAACCCTTACATTGTTTCAGTGACATGAGACCAAGTTTGAAGGGTCAATCTTAAACCAACAAACAACAACCATAATTAGCAAGTTGATTGAAAGCTTCAACAATCACTTTTTGATTTCACTTTTTAAAAAATTTAATTTTTTTTTTATTTTTCGTTAAATTTTTTTAATATTTTAAATAATTTTTTATTTTTAAATACACTTAACATAAAGGGGGATGCACCAATAAATCTCAAATTAATAACTTATGCACTGTTTAGTCCTAAAAGTTTTTTTATAGACTGAAAGGTCCCATTACAATGTTAATAACATCAGATACAATGTTAATAACATCAGAGTCATGTTACAAACATTGGATTTCAAACATCTAATGTTCATCAAATTTCAATAATGTTTCATCAGATTAATGTTTCGAACATTAGATTTCGAACATCAGATTAATGTTTCGAACATTAGATTTTGAACATTAGATTGATGTGCAAATGGGACTAAATGGAGCATAAAAAAACTTTTAAGACTAAATGGTTCAACTTTTCAAAAACTAGGACTTATGGGTAAATTTCCTAACATAAATATACTTAAAAAGTATAACATTTATAAAAATTTTTTTAAAAAATTCACTAAATATAAAAAATATTAAAAAAAATACGAAAATTCAACACATTTTTCATATATTTATTAATTTTTCAAAATATCTTTTTATAAATATTTTACTATTTAGATACATCTAAATAAGATGTCTAAAAAATAAAAAATTACTTAAAATTTAAAAAATATTTATTAAAAATAAAAAAAATAAAAAAATAAAAAATTTTATTTTTAAAAACTGAATTTAAAAAAGTGAAACCAAAATATTTTTCTTTTGATGTAACCCCTCCCTGTGCAAATGATTGATTAAAAAAACGCTTAAGGCTTCGTTTGGAAAGTAAATTGACTTTTAATTTTTTGATTTTTGAACTATTTTAACTTGTGATTAAAAAATCTTATTTGAGAAAGACTTTTTTAATTTTTTGTGAAAGAAAAAATAAAATAATTATGAATTAAATGTGATATTTTATTTTATTAAATTAAAAAAATTATTTTACCTTTTTGTGATTAAAAAAACTCCGACCCTCCTTCCCAAACGAAGCGTAGTCGCAAATGACACCACCTGAATGAAAAAGAAAGAGATGGAATTGTGTTTGTGGCTTTTAATTTATAATAATGAATTTTATCATTCGATACTACGTACATTAATTAATATATTAATATTAATTATGATATTATTATTGATTTCATTCATTAATCACATTATAAATTTAAATTTTTTTTTAAATTATAGCATATCGTCAATTGATACGCTAATTAGTATATCAAATGACATTACTCCATCCAATTTGATGCTGTTTATGAGAGAGTAATTTTTTTTTTTCACTTGAGGATATGCCTCATTAAAAACTAAAAGCGTTGAGGAAGATCAAATCCCTTTCATAATAAAACACAGAAAATTTGAAATTAAACAAACACATCATCACAGCCAAGACCCAAATCAGCAAATCCTCAAATCCAAAATGATACATGAAAAAAAAAAAGAAGGCTCATATTCACACTGTCCCTATTCTTTTCACACACTCTCCTCCTTGAACAGAGTTAGAACTTTTCTCTAAAGCTCCTAAACTCCCGAGGCCATGGACTGCAAATGTTCATAAAAAACTTGCAACATGTTAGAAAATGTCACAATTCCAACCAAGCTACAATCATCTTCTACGACCCAAACATAATTCACCCGATGCGCGATCGCCTGAATCATCACCGCTACTAAAGAACTCCCCGGATAGCACACTATGGCCTCTGACCTCCTCACCATCCTTGCCGAATAGCTACTGGACCTACTGTACCTCGCCGACCTTGGCAATGCCGCGGTCGATGACAAGGACTCCTCATCAGACCATAACGATGAGGAGGAAGAGGAGTTGGAAGGAATGTCAAAGGAGAAAGTGAATTCCTCTAACATTCGTTCCAATTTCCTCTCATTCAACCTTGCCCTCACGACCCTCACAAGATCCTCTGGGGGACCTCCGCAATCTATATAGGCCATGAGGTCTCCTGCAGAGAGGGTCGTGATAGCAGCTGCGACCATTTCATCGCAGCAGGCGAGGGTGAAGGGAGATATCTCGCCGATCAACATTCCGTCGTCGTCAACAACGGCTACGGAAGTTTGGTCAGCGAGGGAGCTTGATATGGCTTCTATGGCCGAGGAAGCCGGCGAGTGGTACCCGACTGCCAAGAATTCTGTGCTGATTATGCCGAGGGTAGCGACGGAGAGGGCCGGGATGGGCGGGAAGAGGCCAATTGAGCTCAGGAGGAATCTGATCACGTCTTCTTGGGTTAGCCAGCAGAATTCACGGCCGTTGTGAGCTGTGGGAGATTTCTGTAGTTTTCTTCTTGAATTGGACTTTATTGGTACCACAAGATTCTGAGCACCTTGGAGGATGAGATCAATGGCTTCCAATAAGCTGCAAAACAAAGATGAAACATAGATAATGCTTAATTTTGATTTGTGCAATATACATTCAAATTCAAATTCGCTTATTTATTTCTTGTACCATTTCTTTAATTAGAGATTTTATCGAAAATATAAATAATAAAATTATCTTATTTACACGTGACCAGAACGAATTAAAAATAATATAAATAATAAAATCATCTCTTTCTTTAATAACTAAAACTAAGGTAAAGAAACAGAGCAGAGTACAAAAACAGAGAACAGGAACTTTTAGGTTTTTTTTTTAAAAAAATCAAGGTTAGTCGAAAAATTAGATGAAAATGAAGTGCGTGTGACGCACTCACAATGAATCTTATAATATATTGGTACCTTTCTAAGGATTCAGAAATATTCTACTGAAATAGAAAAGTAAATAAAATATATAAAAAACAAAATAGAGCCAAATTAAAGTAATTCAAACCAACAATAAAGTTTTAAACAATAATGAACGCACAAAGAAATTTATGAATAATAATGAAAAAAAAAAAGATTCAAGAAATCGATCCAATTCATCAAAACAAACAAAAACAGATTAAAATTGAAATGTTAATGGGTTACCTGGAAAAGGGTTCGACGTGCCTGACGAGACCAGGAAGTTTGGGGAGCAAGACAGAAACAGGGGATTTGAGAGCAGAGGAAGGAGAAGAGAGATTTTGGTCTTTGCAGAGGTAGCAAATGACATCGACCATGCAGACTTTTCCGACACAGCGACACTCCTCGGCGGCGGATTTGGAGTGGTCACAGGTCCATACGCTGAGGCAGGTGTCGGAGGAGGATTTGAGGGCGGACAAGGCGTCGGCCACGGTGGCGGAGATCGAGAGAGATCTGAGAGGCGGCTTGCCTAGGCAGAGGTCAGCTACCTCGTATGCTAGCAAGCGAACTGCCATACAAAACTGAATACGGTGGTTTTTTGAGAGAGAGAAAGAGAAGATGTGGAGGAGGATTCTTAGGTAGAGAGAGAGAGAAAGAAAGGCTGAGACTTGGGCTTGGTAGAGTGTATGAATATAGAAAGGCTTGGTAGATGTGGTCAGGTATTTATAGAAGGCGGTTACAGGTGCCGCGATGGTGGATTAATGAAATGATTAATCGCAGTTTGGATGGTTTTAAGTGGGTTGATGAAATGAAAAATATTTTAATTAATTAATAATTATTTGTATAATATATAATATTAGTTTATATAATATTTTTTATATATATAACATAAATTGATTTCATATAAGATTTTTTATTTATATAACTATTAATTTGTAATAATTTTATATTTTAAATATCTTTCATATTTATTTTTGTTTTGATATTTTATTAGAGTTTAAAAATATATATATATATATATATATATAGCAAATGGAACGGTTTTAAAAGAGAATTATAAATTTTAAAATTTAATCTATAATTAACAAATAAGATGATACAAATTTAGGCTAAAAATCACAAAAAGACAAGATAGGTTAAAATAGTTAATAAGACAAAATATCACATCAAATCCATAATTATTTCACTTTTTCTCTCACAAACAACTACAAAAAAATCCAATCATCTTCCCAAACACAAAAAATTTTAACCTACTAAAATAATCAAAAATTAAAATAACTTAATAAAATAATCGCTTCCCAAACGAGGCCATAGTTTTAATTGGTTGTGTAATATTTTATACCGCCCTGATTAGATAGGCACATCATATGTAATTAGGTACAGGAGGTAGGAGTCTTCTTAAGTGTGCAAGTGCACATCATGTGCCACTTACATAAAAAGTGTAAGTGTAAGGTGTAAATATAAGTATAAGGTGTAAGTGTAAGGTGTAAGTGTAAGGTGTAAGGTGTAAGTGGGTTGCACATGGTGTGCAGCCTCAAAAAAGGTGTAAGTGTAAGGTTTAATTTTTTACAAAAGGTGTAAGTGTAAGGTGTAAGTGTAAGGTATAAGGTGTAAAATGTAAGTTGCACACCATAACCAAACCCCAGGAGGTAATACCTACTGTTGTTTGATTTTATATTATGCTTGTTTAGAGTGTATTAAATAAGTGTATTTTTTATTTTTTTAGATTAAAAAATTAAGAAAAAAATATGAATATTTAAATTAATTTTTTAATTTTTTATAAAAAAATATATATTAAAAAATTATATAAATAAATATATGGTAGAAATTAATGATGGAATAGGCTGTACGTTCTGAAACGTATGGGGCAGCGTGGCAGAGGATAGGGGTAGGAGATTGATTCTCTCCTTTTGGGGCATAAATTGGACGGTACTGTTCGGCTTATGGGGGTCCACCACAGGTCTCATTTTGCTAATCGAAACTGTTAAATGTGTAGAACTCGTCGAGTACTATATGTTTGTAAAAAATTACTTTGATTGGATATCAATAACTATCTGATCGTATTAGTTTTTCTTGTCAACTGTTAACTATGATACCACCCATTTTTTATACAAAACTAATTTGATCATATAGTTACCGATTTCCGATCAACTTGATTTTTCATAAACATATAGTCCTTGACGATTTCTACATATTCAACGGTTCAAATTATCAAAACGAGACCCGTTGTGATCCTCCAAGGATCTAATATTTCCGTCCAACTTAGTGATTTTATATATGTAATTCTTTTTTTTTCTTCCCCTCAGAGTACTAAAGGGTCAATTCGTGTAAATTTTGTTTGATTAAAATATTATGTATATTAATTTTTTAATATTATTAATTTGTAAATAGTGATAACTTTTTTATTTTTTTTTGTAATTTTTTTATTTTTTTAAATTTTTTGTAATACCTCAAACCATGCCTAAATTTAAATTTAAAATATCATAAAAATAATTTATTTTAATAATTTAAATCGTTTGTATATTATTTATGAAAAGTCAAAATTTTATAAAATAAATAATTTATATAATTAAAACAAGACTCACTAAACCCAAATTTTATAATAGGGCAATCAAATTGCGGCACGAGTCCACTCACTAGTAAAACTTGTTTTCACTTGTCTGAAAAATAGTAATTTATCCTTCGTTTTGGGAGCTGGTTAGTTTTTTTATTTTTTTAATTATTTTAGTTTTGGTTAAAAGGTATAATTTGGAAAGGATTTTTTGATTTTTTGATTTTTTTTTGTGAGAGAAGATTATGGGTTCGTTTGGCAAGAAGAGTTTGGGACTTTTTTGACTATTTTAGTCACAAAAGACAAAATAGGCTATTTTAGCCACAAAAAATAAAACATCACATCCAACCCATAATCATTACACTCTTCTCTTACAAAAAAAGTCAAAAAAGTCAAAAAGCCCTTTCCAAACCAAGCTTTTTAACCCAGGCTAAAATAGCCAAAAAAATCAAAAAGCCAAAAAGCCAACCCACTTCCCAAACGGAGATTATGGGTTGGATGTGATATTTTATTTTTTGTTACTAAAATAGCCTATTTTGTCTTTTCTGACTAAAATAACCAAAAAAATCCAGTTTAGCTCTTCCCAAACGTTAGGTGCGTTTTTGTGGTTTCCTTCCCTTTTTTTTTTAAATACTTTTTAATATATCTCATTAAATTTACGTTTTTTTTAATCAGGAAAAAAAAATTATTGCAAAAGTGATAAAAAAAAAAATAAAATCAATTTCATATAGTAATAGCAAAAAATCTCATAAAAAGATAACAACTTTTCATAGAAGGAAGAATCGTAATAAAATCCTTATAAAAGAGGAAGACAACCTCCACACAAGAAGGATTATTATAGCAAATAATAAAAAAATAAAAAAGCAAACCGAAAACAATCAGATCTAAGTCACCATACGCATCCAAAGCTCCATTATACTGCAACCTTTAACTTGAAATATGAAGACCCCACATTCGCTGGTCAAGATGAAATATTGAGGTTGAGGTGGTTGCCTAGCGTGAAACAAATGTATTAAAATAACGCCGGTTTTCGGATGAGAAGATCTAAAACTAGATCTTAAAATTTTGGAAATAATATTTGTAAAAAGTAAAGTATTTGAAAAAAAATTATTAAATATAAAAAATATTATTTTAAATATATTTTAGGAATAACATAAATGAGTATTAGACAAATTCTTTCTAATATTTTTTTTTGGTTTTTCAAAAAAAAAAGGGTAAATTATAAATATACTCATTGAGATTTGATTAAAATACGAATTGTCTCTTGTAGTTTTAGAAATTACATTTCACCTCCTGAGATTTTTAATTTCATAACAAATCGCTCATTTTATTAATAAATCATTAAGTCAATTAACAGTTTTTAATGATGTTACAAATATGTTTCAATTAATAATTTAAGTAATTTTATTATTGTATATGAGAGAAATAATGAATTTCATTTTTTTTCGTTAATTCTGTTAAATAAAAAATACTAACAATGAGATCTTTGTAATTTTCTAAACCACAGGGGGTAATCTGTACTTTAAGCAAACCTCAAGGTGTCACGACCCAAACCCGGTACCCAAAGGCATGGCGTCGTAACAAGATAAAAATAATGTAATTCGGATAATTCTGTAGTCACAGCGCAAGTGGATAAAATTAATTAAAATAAATAACTGGGTACCAACTGTTTATTTATAAGGAAATAAAACATAGTTTACTTGAACTTCATGATATTATAAGAGTCTAATAATAAAAGATAAAAAACAAAATAACATAGCAATTCATTTTCCATCTTGATCCCGCTAAACCTCGTTACCTGAAAGGGGTAACAGGTATAAGCACATAGTAGAGTGAAGAAATATTATACTATGAGGGGCACAAAATGACCATGGATATTTATTTGAGCTAAAATATTATAAATTGAGTTGAGTTGAATACACAAATTAATTAAGTGTCAGAAACTGAAATAATCACTATAACCACGATACATCACTAAGTGACAAGCACTACACTGGTCAATGGATCCACGACAAACACTGGACCACAAAGTGGTCAAACACTAGCCAATGGTTATTTAAGTCCCCCAAGGCATGGGACTCCCGTGGTAGTACTCACAAAACATATTTTCATATAATGTCATAGCCAAATATTCTTTAAAAGTAAAACAAACATATCTATGGGTTTTCTTTTAAGCAAATAAGGTTCATAAACGCCAACTCTTCCAACCGGAGTACATGTAAAAAACTATAAGCTCATGGCAGAGTGAGAAATATTATACTAAGAGTATAAGGCATAAAATTCACCATGGATAATTAGTTGGGCCAAAAAGAGTTTGATACATAACATACATAATGCGGAAATCATTTGACATATACATGTAATACGGAAATCACTATACAACCATAACCACGGTACATTACTAAGTGCCAAGCACTACACTGGTCATTGGATCCACGACAAACATTGGACCACAAAGTGGTCAAACACTAGCCAATGGTTATTTAAGTCCCCCAAGGCATGGGACTCCCGTGGTAGTACTCACAAAACATATTTTCATATAATGTCATAGCCAAATATTCTTTAAAAGTAAAACAAACATATGTATGGGTTTCCTTTTAAGCAAATAGGGTTCATAAAATAATCCACGTAACTGAAATTTTTATAAAACATAGCTTTTATAAATATACTAATAAAACATAACTTATATAAAATAGATTTTGGTAAGTCAAAACATAAGTAAAATATATTTTGGTGACTCAAGGTATAATATAACTCACCTTAAATTAATTCCTTTATCCTTTCTTTCCACCAACACTCAAGATGCTCACCTGTGCGTCCTCTCTTATACCTTTTTTTCCTTTCCGTTGCCTTAACTCGCCACTCTTCCTATTTATAGGAAGGTGAAACATGGGTAGTAAGTCTCAGAAATTTCCGAAATTTGACACGTGTAAAACTAAATCCACCCTTATCCATTTTATTTATTAACTTGTTTGAATTTTATGACCATTGACTAATCCAGCTTCTTGGAACTTAGACATATTTTGACCATTTGTTTTTAATTTAAAAGTTATTACCTTCTTTAGTAATTCAAGATGACTCCTAAAATTATATATGACTATAAGTTAGGTTCACGTCTAAAACCTTACTATTCAACTATAAATCACCACTT